GAGGGCCGCTCCAGATGGTTTTTCTACCGGGAGTTACCCCTTCGCCCCACCAAACTAAGGAACAGGCAGGTGATGGAGAGCCTGGGGAGACAGAGGGGACTGGCACATGGGCAGAGTAGTGGGGCAGATGTCACCTCTGGCAGTGGTGCTTCATGCAGCCATGCCAAGATGGGTGCTTGTGGCAGGGGGCAAGCATGGCAGGGCAGTGCAGTGATGCCAGGCAGGGCTGGGAATGAGTGGCAGCGCCAAAATGTACCGCTCCCATGGTATGTCTGGGGTCCCTCTCGGGAGAGCGCAGGGGCTGCTGTGTTTCTGTACTGCCCCAGCCAAGCTCACTGGCTGGGAAAACCCCCTCTATATCCTAACGCTCCCTCCGCTTGCGGTCACTCCACTGAACCCCCCTCCGCTTTGCTCACCGCCTAGCCCCTTTCATTAATTTATCTCCCTGGCTCATCGAAGCGATAGCCGCATCTTTGCTGCAGAAGAGGTAGGAGGGACGGGCTAGAGACTGGGTGGCAGAGGGAAAAAGCAGCCATGTACAAGGAAACTACCTAGCATTCACCTCGCTGTCCACCTTCCCACCGGGGTCCCTGCTGCCTCCCCTCTGGCAGGCAGCGGCTCGGGATGCACGGAGCACACTTCCTAGCTGTCGCATCAGCAGCACAGCTGTTTGCATCTGGAGGTCTGGCCTGCAGGTGTTGGGTTTTACTTTTCCCGGCTAGCCAGTGGTGTGGTTTTTTTTTTTTTTTTTCTTTCTTTTTTAATTTCCTTGCAAAGGGTGGGACAGTTGTTAGTGCTGAAAGCGCCGCCCATGAGCGCTGGCACTCACTCGGGTAATATCCCCTGGCCTCTGTGCTCCAGGGTTTGAGTAAGCCCCAGGCACCTCCCGCTGTCTGAGTCACCGTCCGCTTCCCACCCTCTCCCTGCAGCTGGGACTGCGGGGCCTGGGTGCGGGTGGTGAAGGGGGTCAGGCCAGCGCTGCTGGTGTTGCATGTGAGCAGGTGATGCAGGCAGCTGCCAGCCCTTCGGCAGGTGTTGAGTCTGCCTCAGATCTGCTGCTCCTGCCCTGTCAGTAGAGAGGGGACTGAGCCCTGAGGTGGTCCAAAGCTATGGAGGAGCTGGAGATGCTCCAGGTGTCCGTGTGTGAGGGAAGGCGGGAGGAAAGCAGGGCAGAGCTGAGCATCTCTCAGCGTCATTGCCTGGGAAATAAGGCCAGGCTGAGCAGCTCTGTCTGGGCAAAGCAAGCTGTCCTGTTGGCAGGTGTGACTGGATTGAAAGCTCAGGAATTGGGGCTTTGTTCCCGTAGATGTCACATTTGCCTTAGGGCCACCCTGGCTGGGGCTGTTTGTCCCTCTTAGCCCCTCTGCATTGGGGGATTTCTGCTGGGGTCTAACCCCAGCGCCCTGCCACGGACACTGCCAGGGAAGGATAGTGGTCCTCCTCATTTTGGGCAGCAGATGAGAGTCCTTTCATGTGATGTCATTTCTTTTTCCGCCTTTTTTGTCTCACCTCCATCCACGCCTGCTCTGCTTCTGGTAAACCCCAAGGGGATTTCCCCTTGCACCAGGCTGAGGTTTATTTTTACTCAGATCAAAGATGGTTTTGTTGGATCAGAAGATCCCTCACCAGAGGCAGTCCCAAACTCCTGCTGTGTATAAACCCGGGTGTCCTGCTCGGGTCCCTGAGCTGCTCACCACTGCTCACCCCGAGGGGTGACCACCGTCTTGGGCTGGCTGCTTTCATGGCACAGCTAGGGGCTCCTGGCCTGCGTCAGACCCTCCAGAGCTTTAGCAGCTCATTTCCCCCTGGAAATCTCAAAGTGTGTCTGAACTATTCCTTGTGCTGCAAAGCTCCTGGCCCCAGTGGGAAAAGATGCTGCTTTGAGTGTGGTCCTTACCAAGTGGTGCACTCTTTGGAGGCTTTTTCTCCATTAGACACCTTTCCTGGCAGACACCTTGCTCTTCATTTTTTTGCACTGTTGCCAACAACTCATGTTTAAACCCCAAAGTTATCACCCTAAGCACTGATGAACATCACAAATCAGGTCAGAGCTCCCCTTTCCCACCTGATTGATTAGAGGCAGAGTTGCACTTACGGGTGCTGAGGTAATCGGCTTGTACCTCCTCTGCAAACATCTCTT